ATGTGATAATATATTTTTTTAATTATTAATATTTTGCCGTTAATTTGTCGCTAATTAGTTGTGATTAAATTAAATTTGTCGTTCGCATATTTCTTTGTTTTCATGGGTATTTTGTTAACTTCATATGAAGTTAGCAAGACAGCCCCCTTAAATATGTGATAATTTTTTTTTTTAATTGTTAATATTTTTCCGTTAATTTGTCGTTAATTAGTTGTGAATAAATTAATTTTGTCGTTTGATTATTTTTTTTTTTTCGGCTGCTTTGCAAAGCACCCGCTCCACTTATTACAAAATATTAACTATTAATTTTTTTTATCAGATATTTAAGGGGGGCTGCCTTGCTAACTTCATATGAAGTTAACAAAATACCCATAAAAACAAAGAAATATGCGAACGACAAATTTAATTTATTCACAACTAATTAGCGACAAATTAACGGCAAAATATTAACAATTAAAAAAATATATTATTACATATTTAAGGGGGCTGCCTTGCTAACTTCATATGAAGTTAACAAAGCACCCATAAAAACAAAGAAATATGCGAACGACAAAATTAATTTATTCACAACTAATTTGCGACAAATTAACGGCAAAATATTAACAATTAAAAAAATATTTTATCACATATTTAAGGGGGCTGCCTTGCTAACTTCATATGAAGTTAACAAAATACCCATAAAAACAAAGAAATATGCGAACGACAAAATTAATTTATTCACAACTAATTAGCGACAAATTAACGGCAAAATATTAACTATTAAATTTTTTTTATCAGATATTTAAGGGGGGTGCCTTGCTAACTTCATATGAAGTTAGCAAAGCACCCGTAAAAACAAAGAAATATTCGAACGACAAAATTAATTTTTTCACAACTAATTAACGACAAATTAACGGCAAATTATGCATCTAATCGCTTTTTGATTAGCGATGGATGCTTTGCTAACTTCATATTCATTTTGAAATGTTGTGGTATTTATTCTGTCTAATAAGCCAAAACAATTATATAAAGGCTGGGATGTATGTTGAGGTCCCTTATTATTTAAACATTAAATAAATTTAAAAAATTAATCATATATTATATCACGAGAACTATGAATTTAATCGGTTAAACTAGGCTCAGTAGTTTTTTGTTTGGTTTTTGTTGGAAAATGTTGAATGCAAAATAATTTAATAAAATCACGAGACCGCGTAGCGGTCGAGGGGTTTTATTTTTAATTATTTTAATTATTTTCCAAAAAGAAAAATCAAATAAAAAACTTACTGAGTATAGTTTGACAGATTAAATTTATAGGTTGAGTGATATACGTCTAGATTATTTCTCGAATTAAAGGAAACTATTTGACAATTCATAAAATCTGACCTATGTGTCAAAATTTATAAATATTTTTTTAAAGGTTAAATTAATAATTGATATTTCGTAAACTAGATAACTTATTTTTTATTGTTTTTTAATAAATGTTTGTTAAAACTTGTAAATAACACCATAAAATCGTAAACAAAAATCCAATATGGAGGCTAAAATTTAATCGCTGTTAAATAGTTCTAGTGATTTAATCGCTTATTTAAACGAAATTTATTCGAAAATTCAAGGCTTTTGATTGGTTCATATTATAATAAGGGAAATAATCAATTATAAAAATTAATTTTTATTCGTTTTTGATGATTAGTTATTTCTTACAAAATAAATGCCAATTATGTTTTTTTAATATAGATATGGGGCAAAACACCTCAAGTGTTCCCATCTACAGGGCCTATTTTACCTAAAGGCCCATAAGGCCCGGGCCTTGGGCCCGGAGGAAAATGGGGCCCGAAAAAATCTCTTGAAAAAAAATTATAAACCATTTCAATTTAAATTAAAAATGAAGCCATACCTATTTTATAAAGAAAATTAAATATTAAATAAAAGTGCCTTAGATTGGTATAATAACGATATTGATATTATTATTATAATTTTAGTTAGATTCAAAAACATAAAACATCGGCGGTCTCTTTTATGGCGTTTTTGTTTATGCCGCTATAAGTACCGACGAATCTTTTGCTGACGAATTACGAATTACGAATAAAAAAGCTGCCGCTCAACGCAATCTTTATTACCGCCTAGTCCTAGTCGAAAGTACAGGGTCCGGCATCAGAATTGAACGGTTTTGAAAAGGCTGCTATGGAAATACTATTGATTTGGTATATGTCAAATAGTGACAGACTTATACCTTATTGCCGAAGGTTTCGTGTGCAATGTCAAACTGGCCGGTTAATCAACGGATCTTTGCTGTAAATTCGTTTACCCTGAGCCAGTCCTTCGTATACAAACGCAGAGACGCTTTCGTCGTGAATATAATTTTCAAGTGCGAGCTGAAGTCCCATAAAAAAATGCAATTTTGAGATTTTAACGGAAAAGGCAGTGTAAAATCAAAATTTGCCGCTGGAACTTGTACAGTTTGTACACAAGAAAATATTGGAAGAGTCAGAGAAGCATTTGAGCGGCACTCGATTGCTCTACACATTTCAGACCGAAGTTTGCGACGAATGTTACATCTGGATTTAAAACTCCATCCAAAAAACCGACAGTCCAGAGGCCAAATCCCATTGATAAAGTCAATCGACTCAATTTCTGCACACAATTTTTAATTGCCATTGTACACGAAACTTTTGGCAATCAAGCTTAATTTTCATGTATCCGTTTGTCCGTCAGTCCGTTCATCCGGGAGCGCTCTTATTGGTCCAATTATAATTCGAAAATTATGACATTTTATCGGTCCGTCAAGTTTCAACTTCGTACGTCTGACAGAGAAATAATTTTAATTCATCCGTCACTACACATCTGTTTTTGACGCCTAACGTTATTTTAAGATAATTTATTTTCAAATATTTTTATATTTTTTCAATAAGATTGTAAAACGGAAATATTACGTTCGTTATGTGAATAATGTTTTACTATTAAGTTTTTATTTAATAAGAATAACGGAAAAAAAGAAAGGACAAACAAAAAAAAATTAAAACTAGAACTAAAAGGACCTGCTTTTTTAAAACTATACATTTTAATGTATATTAGGGCTAGTATATTCTTTTTATAAGGTATATTTACCTACATTTAAATTTATTAGACAGCTAACTGTTAAAGTTACAATTGTTGACATAATTGTAACTATGACAATTAAGCATTAGGTAAATTTAGTAAGTGAATATACTGACACTTAATTTCTATTTGTCGCAAAATCAATCCAAAAACGTCATTAAAAAACGTATGCATGAAAATTAGAACATTTCTTATCGGACGATTTTATTGAAAAACTGACATACGGATGACGGACAAACGGATACATGAAAATTAGCTTAAGGAACAAGTCTGTCACTATTTGACATATATTAAATCAATATGTAGTATTTCCATAGCAGCCACGAAACTTTCGGCAATAAGGTACAAGTCTGTCACTATTTGACATATATCAAATCAAGAGTATTTCCATAGCAGCATTTTTAAAACCGTTCAATTCTGTGGCCGGACCCTGTATTATTGTGAATTTTATAATTTCTTTTTACGATTGCAATCGTCCGAACTCCGAAATTCTTATTGAAAAGTTATATAGGATATTGATATGGGGGGCGAAGTTTTGCTTGGGCCTTGGGGCCCCACTAAGTCAAAAATAGGCCCTGCCCATCTAAAAATGATGTTTTCTCCGAATTTCACAAAACTTTGCCAAATCATTGTCCTATTGGAATACCTTAATTTTCCAAATGGGGGGCAAAAAGGATTAGCGGGTTGCAGAGATACAGGGGCCTGAAAATTTATTTTTTTTCTCGTGCGCTTAAAAGACGTCGAAATATTCATGTATATAATAATTTTTTTTTAATTGATAATCAACATATCGTATAGCATTTTTTCCACGCTTTACGATAAAAATGGTCTCGAATGCGAGAAAAATTTTTTGGTTATAAAAAAACGATTTTAAAAATATATTTGTTTTTTTCTCGAAAGGCGACACATTGGATTTTTTTTAAATTAATATCAAAAGAAAGCTTATTCAATTCCCTAAATTTTGATGTAATATGAAGATGGGATCCCAAGAATAAGTCGAAAAAAATAAAGGTTGAAGCGCGTAGGGACCGTATGTATACATTAGGGTGGCCCAAAAAAAAACAATATTTTTTTTCTCTCGTCTCTTGTGAAAATATGTTGGTTTGTAATGTTTTAAGAGCCCTGTCAAAAGATCAGCTCCATTAAAAAATTTTTAGGGGTCGCTCAAGATTTTTAAAAATTTCCAAAATCGTCAAAAATTGGATTTTTTTTTATTTTAATTTTTTTTTTCGTTCCGATATTATTTTTCAATTTAAAAATAATAATGATTCTGAAAATTTCAAATCGATATTTTGATTTCTAAAGGTCGCTCAAGATTTTTTTAACTTTCAAAGTAGAGTATTTTGAATGTTTTTCAGCGACCTCTGAATATAAATATCAACGAACTTTTAGCGACCTTTAGAAATCAAAATATTGATTTGAAATTTACAGAATTTTTATTATTTTCAACCAAAAAAATAATATCGAGACGAGAAAAAAAATTAAAATAAAACAAAAATTCAATTTTTGACGATTTTGAAAATTTTAAAAAATCTTGAGCAACCCCTAAAATTTTTTTAATCGAGCTGATATTTTGACAGGGCTCTTACAGCATGATAAACTAACATATTTTTATAAGAGAGGAGTAAAAAAAATATTCTTTTTTTTGGGCCACCCTAGTATACATTGTACCCAACATTGTAACATTTTAACATTGTAACTAACTACTATATAGTATACACTTATTTGTTAAAAGTTAATTTAATAATTACCTATATTTTGTCGCAAGTTATTTTTTTTTTAATATTTTATTTTCATAAAGGTGATTTGATAATGCTTCAAAATCGCTGGTAATAAAATCACTGTGATTGTAAAATCACCGTCAAGCCCATCTCTACTACACTTCTTATAAAGTAAACTATTTTATTTTTGTTTAAATTTTACAGAGCTATAGCAACGTCTCCGCAAGTGGCGCATCTAGGACCGGTTGCAATGTCAGAATTGGCTAGAAGACGGTTCAGAGACAAGGCGCAGATGCGAATTTAACGGTCAGAGCATTCATCAAAAATTTGAGAAAAAACAAGCAAAAAAGCAAGGTATGATTAACCAACGTTTTTTGTTTGTTGTTACTATAAATCGTTATACCATAATTAAGAAGTATTTGCCTACCTTCTTAAAATATTTTGTTTACCCTTCCACTACTCACATTATTTAGGTACTAAACCTACATTTTTTAAATCCTATCCCGTGTGATGTAAAGCACGTTGGTTTTGTCTACATTTTCTTTGTTTAAAAGAAAAAAGCATTTGTTCAAATGCAAATAAACAGACATCACATAGTTAGGGCTACTATAAGTGCTATTCTTGCCCAATTCTGGACCCAATTTTGTTCACATGTATTGTAGCATTAGACTCATATAGACATTAAAAATGTTCAGAAATGATTTTTAATGTTTGGTAATGTACCTTGGTCAAATGAATATCATATACAAATTTAACAACTCTATTTTTGATAATGTTAAAGTATTTTATATATTTCGTTTGAAAATTAATGCTTTTTACCTTTTTATCCACTTTTTATTTTTTTACAAAATGTTGCTTTAGTTTGTTGTATAATCCTTTTTACATAAATATTTGTTGTATTTTATTTTATATAAGATATTTATTAGTAAATTTGTGTACATTATACCACTACAATGCACACAAACTAACTTTAAATATCTTAAAATATTTCTTTAAATGGTTTTAATTTGAGTCTATTTACACGACTCTAGTCTCAAACTTGGATATATTTTTTTGTAAAATCATCAATTAAATATAGAAGATTTATTAGATTAAATAAAAAGTGTTAATTGCAAATAAAAACAATATAGGTGTATAGATATCTAAATAAATATTTATTATAGCTACCACCGCTAAGAACGCTTTAAAAGGAAATCGCTATTTTAAGTGAAACTGTAATGTTCTGTAACATCATTATTATGTAGCTTAGTGTTATAAGGTTCAACATTGTATTATATTCAAAAGTCTAGTCTATATCTATATTTTTATAAAATAAGTTATCTCTAAAGAAAACCCCTTTAAGCCACAAAAATTGTAGTGTAAACATGGGAGGCATTTATCATAGCAAACTTTGGCAGAAAGCATTTTGTGATTTTTACTCGTGTGTTTACTCTAACAAATCTGCCTGAGAAGATTTTTTAGAATACATTTACATGAATGTTACTCTCTTGGGTTAAACTAATCCAAATTTTATGCGATTCGTTGATACCTGTTTGTGGATAGAATTATACATTTAGGCTTTACTATATTGATGTTATTTTGATGTAACAATCAATTTAAAGAATGGTTGACAAAAATCATTATACTTAATAACATGCAAGTTTTTATAAATGCAGTAAGATCAACCATTCTTATTTCGTCAAGTGTCAATTTTTAAAATTAATTTTAAAATATTTGTTTGTCTATTTGGGCTCTAAAAAGTTCAGACAAACAAATTAAACCTATTTAATACATGTATGTGGCCATAAATAAAATTTAGTTCCTTAGGTAATTTTAATAAACATAGTTTTATGAGATCTGCATATCCACGTTAGTTCTTATAAGTATTGTGTAAAGAAATTAAATTTATCCAGATTTTAATTGTATTATAATGTTAAAAAATATTTATCTTATATTTCCAGTAAAAACAATTGTGATATCGATTTTTATAACATGTTTTTAGGTTTAAATCTAGTTATTTTTAGTGGTAATAGCTCGAAAATGTAAATTTTATTTTGTATATCCATGACTATTAGCAAAAACAAATATTTTAAAACAAAAGATTCTGTAATAAAGATTATAACATTATTTAGTGTTTTTTTAACATCCTAATTAATTAATTAAAACACAAATTAAGGTTTTATTGTTGATTGAAGGTCTTTACTTAAGCCAAAAAAATAATATTTTAATTGTTTCTAACTAATGCTTTTTGATATTAATGTATAACTAGATTATAGTATATTATGTATCAAGTTTGATAAACGTCATTTTATACACGAATTTAATTTAGGCACGAGCGAGCTTGCGAGCGAGTGTATAGAAAAGTTTATAAACGAGGTGAATACTATACTTTTTCTACGACAAATACTTATTATCTTAAAATGATTTAAATAAAAAATTTGTATAGAGCGCCATCTATGAAACAACAGGGGAAACTGTCAAATGTCACAGTTTTACATTTTATAAACACAATTATAAAGGTTATAAATCGAAATGTATATTGAAAATTGACGGTTTTTCACAGTAAAAGTAAAGGAAATGTTTTATGAGGACTTTACAGTATAGTCCGTGCCCGAATTTAAGTTATAGTTTACTGCCGGCGAAATTAAAAGGTCAGTACAATGTTCATATAAACTTTTCAAATATTGGCGTTGAGAAACTATTTAATATTTTTGTATTGAGATAATAAAATAATTTTCACATTTACAAGAAAGGCACAAATTTTAACGATTGTATGACATTTGACAACTGTCAACTAACTTCAGCCCGTGACTAAAAACCTGTTCCTAACTTCAGCCCGTGACAAAAGCGCCGTAAAGCCACAACTTGTCAATGTGTATTTAAAAGGTCACTTAGTGTCATGGAAACATGTACGATAAAGGGCGTTTTAAAGGTGGGAGTAGAAAAAAAAACACTCTTTTTTGAGTTTCACGAATTTATTCTAATTTAATTTGACAATTGTTTTGCTAACTTATATAACACAATTATTGCAGGTAATGTTTTTTTTAAATATTAGTACAGTATGACAATTTTACCTGATGAAGTATAATGTAAGCTCCTAGGAGTCCTTACTAAGGACAGTTGTAATAAAATAGTATAATATTAGAATAAATTTAACAGAGGGGAAGTATTTTTTTCTATTTGATCATTGAGAATAATTTCAAAATTTTTAATTTATTTAATCTTTAATGATTCTACTAAATTTAACTTCTTACCTTTATCTACAACATGCAAAATTTTGAATTTATTGTCAATTTTCTTGAATTAAATGGTTGGCATAAGTTGAATCTGTTTTTTGATTAATAAAAGATTTTCTATGTTAATTAGTTCTTTTCTTAAAATACCAGCCAGTTTGGCCTATGTAAGTTTTTGGAAAGTCTAGATTTCGTATCCCTGCTGAAAAAGACGGGTAATATCGGATGATTTCGGATAAAAAACCAAGCTATAGTTTTATGCCCATTTATATCTGTTTTCATCCGACATATCTGATTTTACCCGGCATGTCGGTTTTTATCTGCAATTGCTGGTATAAATATTATCCGCGAACGCCGGGTTTTATCTATTTAGTTCTATGTCTGCTTTCATCTGGTTTCATCCGCAAATACCTGTATTTGGATTTATATCTGCATTCACCCGGTTTTATCTGATTTTATCCGCAAACATCTACTTTAATCCGCAAACGTCTGCTTTATCCGATTTCACCTGCAAACATCTGCTTTTATACGTGAAGATCTACTTTCATCCGCGAACATCTATTTTAATCCACAAACATCTGATTTCATCCGCAAACATCTACTTTAGTCCGCAAAAGTGTGCTTCATCCGATTTCACCTGCAAACATCTGCTTATATCCGCAAAGATCTGCTTTTATCTTTGAACATCTGATTTAATCCACAAACATCTGTTTAATCTGCAAACATTTAATTTAGTCCGCAAAAGTCTGATTCATCCGATTTCACCTGCAAACATCTGCTTTTATCCGCGAAGATCTGCTTTTAACTGTGAACGTCTGCTTTAATCCGCAAACTTCTGCCTTTATCCGCAAACATCAGCATTTATCCGCGAACGCCTCCTTTAATCCGCAAACATCTGATTCTATCCGCAAACATCTGCTTTTATCCGCAAACATCTGTTTTAATCTCCAAAAATCTGCTTTTATCCGCAAACATCTATTTTAATCTGCAAACATCTGATTTTATCCGCAAACATCTGCTTTTATCGGCAAACATCTGCTTTTATCCGCAAACATCTGATTTTATACGCAAACATCTGATTTTATCCGCAAACATCTGATTTTATCCGCAAACATCTGATTTTAATCGCAAACATCTGATTTTATCCGCAAACATCTGCATTTATCCGCAAATATCTGCTTTTATCCGCGAACATCTGCTTTTAATTGCAAACCTCTGCTTTCATCCGCGTTCGGTTTGCCTGCATTTCCTTTGTCCATTTTGGTCCTGTTTCGTACGCAAACGTGTGGTTTCATTCGCGCTTTTTGTTTTCATTTTTCTCGTGTATACTTTAGTGTGGATTGTGAGTTTACCTGCTTTGTCAAATTTTCTTCTTCTTCTTCTTCTATACTTTTTATTCTCTTTCGAGAGAATTGGACTTGAGCCGATTAGGCTCTTACTGCCCAGTTACTAGTTTTAACGTCCAATGATTTCCGAAGAACCAAAGACCATTGGACAACGGTTTTCTAACGAACACGTGGACACAAATAGGTTATATAACCTTGAAATTTATATGTTCATATAAATTCCTCTATTCCTTTAAAAAAGGACAAAACGAGGAATATTATCTAGGACTGGAATCCGATTTTGTCCTCCCTGAGTCAAAGTCAACTATATTTCACACTTTTCATGGAGCAATGCACGAGCGATGCGCTTCTCACCGAGGATAAAATCGAAATCTTTGTCAAATTTTACTGAGCTATATACAAAATATACAGTGTTGCCAATGGTGTTGACAAAATTCCACAATTTTGCCAACTATTCCACACATTTGGGATATTGGTTTTGTTAGTTTTTTTGGTGATTACAGCAGAAAGAGTTTCTGAGGTGAATCACCACAAAAACTCTTTCTGCGGTAATTACTGGTGATTACTTAAAGACGTTTTCAAAAACTTACTAGATTACTTACTTTGTCAATAAGTCTGCACATAAATTCGTCCATATAACTAAATAACTAAAATGCGCATTTGCAAATATATCTATTTAAATGCTTGTTATAAGCATTGTTAATTTAAAGATAAAGTTTACACGCAAATTCCACACATTTATGTATTACACACAAATTACACACAACAAAATAAATTCCACACAATGCGTGGATTTCCACGTACATTGGCAACACTGAAAATATAGGCAATAAGCGGTATATGTGTGGAAGTATGTGAGAATGGTCACAAGCACAGAACAAGTAACGACATCTCCTGGCTGTTTACTAAACGTAAAAAATTTAAAAATATTTAAATATTACTGTATTATTTATTAATTAAAAAATAATAGCAGTTGTATAATTAAGGTTTAGGCACAAAAAATTAGTTATATTTATTGTTTTTCAAATAATCAAATAAAAATTTGATATTAAAATGATAAACCAGTTACCTACTATACCGGCTTTGAAGTTTTGACAGATTCAAAAAGTTAAAAAAAAAACTTTAAAATGTAGATAAAGAACACGATACACATAAACCGGTATGCTGGTTATGAAACGAAAACTCGTCGACTCCGCGCATGTGACGTCACGTACGAACCAGATTCAAATGTTTTGCATAGGAATACACTATGCACAAGTGCTTTACTACCATTTATTTTGAGTTTTATCCGCAATTATTGTGTTTTTCGAGGCTTAAGGTAGCAAGTGAGCTTTGCATCGTGTGTCGTAAAGTTTTTACTGCTTTATTGAACAGCAATAACTATTTACAAGCCACATACGGGAGTCTCATACCAGGTTATTTATTAGGTTTGTGTTAATTTGTTGGACTTAATAACACTAAAATATGCGGGGCTGTGCTGTGGGAGACTGCAAAAATTTGAATAAAAACACCTAAGGCAGTAACACGAAATATTTTCGTTTCCCAAAAAATAAAGATCTGGCAACGCAGTGGGTGAATGCATGCAAGAGGAAAGATAAAATTAATTTAAAAAACGGTAATTAAAGGCAACTTTTTGTATATCCAATTTTCTGTTATGTACATATGGTAATTTTCATCCTAACCTCATAATTTTTACAGCTTGCATCTGTTCTGTGCATTTTACCGAAAGTAGTTTTGAAATACCATTAAATCAAAGGCTGCTACAGTATTGTCCAGAAAATAACAGCTACTTAAAACCTGATGCATTGTAAATCAAAAGCAACATAATATGTTAAAACCAGTTGTTCTTTGAGGTTAGAAAAAAGAAGATGAAGTCATTAGAAACAATTACCCTACTCTTGGCATTCTTACAATCAAAATATTAAACACTGAAAAAGTACCAGACTGGTTACAGACCATATCACGAAGCAGAACGTGAACATTCGATTACGCGAATTAAATCAACAAATTAGTATTAATAACAGCAAAAGAAATTTGGAAAAAAAAATGTTTAAATTTACTAATAATAAAAATTAAATCACAATTGTATCGAAAACCCGCTTCAAAAGTGTCACAAGTTAAAAAAAGCAGTTTTGAGATATTTTTAAAGCTTGCATTATTATTTTCTGTATAAATGCATTTTTATTTTTTGTTACCTAGGTAAAAGCTTTTACATTACAAAAATGTAAAATTCGGACTAGCGTAAGTATGTTAAATTAATTAAATAAAAATTATTTCGAAAAATAATAATAGGAAGGTTATGAAATTAATTGTTGCTTAAAATTAGTTTTAAAAGCGCTTGCTGCCAATTAAACTTTCTCTAAACATTTGTTACAATTAATAATTGCACCGAGACCGTCCCTATATTTATAAATTTTCAAATATAACGTGAATTTGTAGTGCAAATAACATTCCAACCAAGTTACCCGCCAGCTTTTGGTCCGCACATGACGTCACATGGTGTGAGAGAGACAGCTATAACATGCGCATCAGCATACCGGTTTATGTG